TTTTTCCCATCCTGATTAGCTGGGAATATTGTTGCATCTTCTATTTTGCATTTTCCAACCATATTTAAGCTGCTACTATGGCAGTAGTCTCCATATGTATACATTAAAAAAATTCCTTGTATAATTCTGATGTGCATTACTACATGCATTACTTTTTTGGGGAAGGGGCCTACGAATTTTTTTGTGTTATTAAAAATCGAGATTTTTAAACGGCGACCCACAATTTCTTTTTATGTTTAACAAATATAGTAATATTAGTGACCAATTCGATGCATGCCAGGTGTTATCGAAAGCACCCTGTATATCCTTGGTTAGGGCCGCCTCTTTTGACATGAGCACTTTTTCAAGTTTGTATGTACGACCGTGATTGGCCATTAAATTTTTGATAGGCGTGTTTATTTATTTTATTTATTTATTATCCCTCTTGTTCTGGGCCCTCAACAGGCTTGCGCCCAATTACAGAGTGATCCGTATAATGCTTTGTGTTGCGGGTGAAGTGGATGTTTTGTTAGAACCTCGCTTCTCGGGAATTGATGACTTTAGGGAGGTCGACTGGTCGACGTTCTGGATATCTAAGCTAAATAGAAGCTGGGTCTGTAGAGCATACATATAGTTTACAGTATCTGTCCAACAACCTTTTGGAAGGGTGCTGGCGGGTCCCGTCTCCACCAGGCGTATTAGGGCCCATTCTACTGTGTCATGTGCGAACATATTTGAGGCTTCGTTTTTAACTCTGGAGTGAGGTCCTTCTGGTCGTCTGCCTCTATCTGTTGAAGAGAAACCTTTACTTTGTGAGCCTGGAAGATGTGTGCTTAGAATATTCTTTTACCATGCTAGAAATGGTATGTGAATATTCCAAATATGCATAGAACGTTCTATAAATATATTCGTTCGTCTGACATATTTCAAAGATATTCAGCAATACTGATGAAAACACGTCAACAATATGTTCCTTAAATTATTCAGTATATTCCGTTACAAAATTTCCTTCATCAGAATCAGAAGCTGTTCTTCATCATCCATATCACGCAGAATATCACGTTTTAGAGTTTGACTGTAAACAAAGCAAAAAATCTGATACAACTAAATACCGAAAGATCCTCGAGATCTTCACGCGTCCATCATTTTTACAACACACCTTAAGACCTTGATTATGTCCCACCAGATCAGCATAGCTTGTAGAACTAATTCTTTAAATCTGCATAAGTTTTACTTTTATTCAAGACTATACATACAAAATTTCATTTAAATATCTTAACAAATAAAAGATTGAATTGTGCAAACACATTTTGGGTGCATGCTCAAAATTTTTTTGGAAGTTTGATCTAACTTTTTGACCTAATAGTCTACGTAGCGACCTTTTTGTATATTCTGAAGAACATGTGTATACCAATTTTCAAAGCAATTGGACTTTTCTCCTGCAGACCGGCAGACAGACAACAATACAAAACAAGGACTACTAGATCATCTCAACACTTTTTGGTGGCCATTTCATTAATTGCGTGTTAATTATTATTTCATAACTTGCGGACCTTTACTAGAATTATTTTGCATGTTAATGTAGATTACGATTTGAACTTAAGACACTGGGGGCGCGCATGTCTGAAGCATTTTTGTATGTTTGCTTTTCAAAAAAATGTACAACCTACAAATAGCCTAATGTCCGACTCTGCTGAATGGGGTAGGCATTTTTCTGAAAAAAATCTTTTCGTAGCAAAGAATCGAACCCGAGCCGTCCGGGTACCCTAACCACTAGCGGCACTAGCTAGACTATTGTCGCCAGAGAGTTGTTACAATTCTCTGATTGTGCCACACATTTAAATCGTGACTGAATTGAATTTGTATTTCATTCAAATTCAAATTCAAAATATATGGGGAAAAGGTGACGTCACTTTTCGCATGCTCAGTGAATAGTACGGCGTGGACGATTTAGATAACAGTGTATGGCCAATCTTAGGGACTAAGTTTCCCCTAGAACTCAAGTTAGTAACTTTAATTATGCACTTGTTCTTGGTTGGTTTTTTAGTGCAATAAAAACAGAAGGGGATTAAACTCTTGTGGCATTTTATTAATGATACTGACGAGAGGTGACTCACCGCACCCTTCACCGAACGTGTTCACGATGACTGTTTTGTGACCGGAAGTGAACTAATGGATGCATAATTGCTGTTTAAACCCGTAGGGGCGTGTTATTGAGTGGACTGTGTGGTGATATTGAGTGATGCAACGATGCTGTTGCAAGAGAATCCCTACAGTTCTTTAATTGTAACGCTTGATTGCTCAAATTAACAAATATCCATTTCAGAGGTAATGTAATAAATCATAACAAATACCTAAGAAGTACAAGATGGACGAGGGTATGTTAAACGACCTCCTCGAATGCTCGGTCTGTTTGGAGCGTTTGGACACCTCCAGCAAAGTGCTACCGTGCCAACACACATTCTGCAAGCGATGCTTAGAGGGAATCGTCGATCGACACAAAGAACTTCGCTGCCCCGAATGCAGAACTTTAGTTCCTTGCAAAATCGAGGAATTACCACCGAATGTTCTTCTAATGCGAATTCTGGAAGGCATGCGAAATGCCTTACCCAAAAAAGAGCAACAGAGACTAATCAGGGTGGTACACCCCGCGACACCCATACATCAGTTACCCGAGCAGCATCGGCGAGCTGCCGACAAGCAAGTTCTTCAACATCACGTCCCACAAACCCACCAGCCCTACGCCAAAGCGATGTATGATTATTCATCAAAGGTCCCCGAGTATGTATTAAATTGATTTTTTTATCTACTTCCTTATTGCCATTGTTATAAGCCGCATAAAATTAATATTCCCCGCAGCTTTGTATTTCCGATAATATTTTTTTCTAAGAACCAAGTACTTTGTGAATAATTAAACTGAAAGTGACACGGTGTTGGCATAAAAAATTGGTAGGTTGTAGCAATATGATTGCGCACATCCCCAAGGTATACACCTCGGGATACACCATTGTAAAACGAGTATGAATCAGACAATTAGAAAAAAAATTATTATTAATGTGGTTTGAAGTCCGTAACAGTGTATAATGCAATCAAATTGTCTGCTTTTCACTAAACCGACATCTATTTCGCTGAAATTTTTTATATTTGTACACTTTGTACGGAATTCAATAATACTAGATAACTGGGACAAGCAATTTCGAATGTTCCTAATCTTCCACATACCAAGGGTCAAATTATCCTCTAGTTTTTTAATTTGAAGTGTTACTTTGCGCAATTTAAATTGAATATAGAACTATTTTTAATTTAACCAATCAAAATTCAGTATACTGGTTAACTCTGAGGTTAATTGATTTGACAATTTCAGTCATCTTTTTAATGTAAAATAAATTATGTACTAACAATTTAGAAATTTCATCATCAGATTCCACATGGGTAGTTCGAGAGGTTGGTACCATGGTAACATTTCAGTTTTATTATTTATTCACCATGCGCAATCAATTGTGTGTTGTGTGTTTCACATTGGAATCAGATTTGCTTAATTGCAATCACCCTGTATAATAATTGCCAATTTTTTGTGGTCACTACTTATCAGATCTATGAAAAGATATCAGGAGTATGTTATCCAACCAGTATTGTCCAAAGGTTTGCAGGATTTGGTCTAAAATCGTAGGAAACAAAATGAACTTCCTCACATCAAGTTGTAGTCCACTTACCTCCTGTGCATTAATTAAAATTTGTATGATACTCAAAAGGGCACAAACTAGAAATTTTGTTATTATTTTTGGACAGATTTTACCTCAGATTTTACCCTACAGCTCGTTGACAACCTGTGCACTGTGAGTGTTGAGTGGTAGCCGAAGTGGTAGCACTATTCTGAATCATCAGCTTCATATTGTGTTTGTAAATTATAAATCTACAACGTGTTCCATTAAATTAAATTCTTAGACAAAAAAGGAAGAGCTTAAAAATCTTTGGATAGAACGCGCAGGTGTACGGATGGTATCTGTGCCAGCCACAGAAAATTTTTTCTGAATCATGTTACTCTTAATACATAAGGTATGGGTAAAATCAGTAGTAGGCTCTGGTAAAATCCTTTCCCTTAATCTCAGCTGAAATTTGTTTCTTTTACTTCCACTATCCCCCCCAAGCAGAACAACGAGCGAAAGTGCGACAGCGTCGCAAAAAAACAAAAAGGATTGCTACAGAAAGATTAAACAATTGGATGTTGGATTATGCTCCCAAGGTCACACCTCGACGCCAGTCAGCCTGTGCCGCCCATTCATAAATAGCAAACGCGTTTTCCTTTCGGAAAAATTCGCAGCATTTTTGTACAACTTTGCTTTTCCAAAAAAATTGAAAAAAGTGGGGAAGGGTCCATTTTCGCATGCAGGCGGACACGTCTACCGTTTAAAAAAATACATCCCCGCCCGGCCGATCAGTGACTGCAGTTCGTAATGCTTTTTTTCTGCATTGACAATAACAAATTTGGCAAAATCCAGAGAGCCTGTAGTTTGTTCACTTTGTTTCAAGAAAGTGATTTAAAAAAAACTCAGAACTGATGTTGCGAGGCACCATTCTGGCGTACTTACTTGGAGAAAGTTTGAGGACATTATTGTTGAAACCTTAAAAACATTCTGCCTCTCATTCTGCTTTGGGGGTTCCACCAACAGAATCCAAAACAATTCGTACTTTTTCGATCAGATTTCTCAATCAAAAGTTATAGACTAGAAACCAATTTCGAAAAAAAATTCAAAGGGCTGTAACTTTTGAACTAGTAGCCTAATCTTGGAACTGTTTGAAATTATGGATTCTACAGGCCACATTCTATAAGAAAATTTTTTTTCCGGGTCGATCTGAGACAATTTTTTTTTCGGGGCTCAAAAAAAAGGCAGTGTATAACCTTCCTTTTTTACCAAAAATCGACTGCACCAAAATTTCTCGGGAAAACACTTTTTCTTATTAATTATGGTGCGTAGAATCCAAAACAATTCGTACTTTTTCGATCAGACTTCTCAATCAAAAGTTATAGACTAGAAACCAATTTCAAAAAAAAATTCAAAGGGCTGTCACTTTTGAAATAGTAGCCCAATCTTGGAACTGTTTGAAATTATGGATTCTACAGGCCACATTCTATACGAAAATTTTTTTCCGGGTCGATCTGAGACAATTTTTTTTTCGGGACTCAAAAAAAGGCAGTGTATAACCTCGTGTATAACCTTCCTTTTTTACCAAAAATCGACTGCACCAAAATTTCTCAGGAAAACACTTTTTCTTATTAATTTTGGTGCGTAGAAACCACCATACAGTACTCGATAAACTATACCTACTTAGGATTTTTTTAGTAAGAAGATACTAATGCTATTAGCATTTTCCAAAGGGCCCACTGAGTGTGACAGTTCAAAGTGATACTTGGAACTCATTCACAATGGATATGCCTAACCAATTGTAGTACAATATGGTATAATAGTCCTCGACTTGAATTGAAAGTTTGCATCCTTTCCAGTGAAACGAGAAGTGGATAGCGAAAAGGAATGATTCAAAAAGTGACATTTATCAAATATATAGAGTATCTCCAAATACTTCTTAATTACTTCAAATATATTCAAGTACATCTCAATTACTTAAATTACTACTTTCGAGTATTTTAATTATCTATGATTATTTATTAAATATTTTGATTCTATTGAAAATGTTCTGATTACTTATTAAATGCTTGATTACTTATTTTAAGTCCTACAAATACACGTTAATTACTTACAAATACCGTTAAATATCAAATATTTTAAATATGGTGTACACTTTTTTGGAAGTTGTTTGCCCCTCGTAAGAGAGTAACGCACTTGCGCATGCGAGATTCTGCCCAAAGGCTTTTCAGCTCTTCCTTTTATAACTAAGAATATGCGTACCAAATTTGGTTCCAATTGGTTCAGCCGTTTCACCGTAAATGAGAAGACAAACCGACATCGAGATTTTGTTTGATTCGGATTCCTGGTGCCTCAAAACGTGTATTTCCGTCAAAAAAGGGGGGGCTAATTTTTTCCCCCAATACAATAGGTACTCCCTTACTGACGTGCGGGTGGTAAAGATTTAAAAAAACCTACAGATATAAACTAATATGGTCGTCTCACGTCATGTGCTCTTATTGAGTCTAACTTAAAAAGGTAAAATCAAAATTTGAAAATATTCGCATGCATAATTTATCGGACCTACCCTTTTTTTTATGGAACGCTCTGTATATTTTAATTGAAAAAGATAGCATATTAAATTCCCTTGACAACAATATAACACACCAGTGACGATACCTACTAAAAGAAGGTTCCAGCGATTGACAAAAATTTAAATTAAATAATAATAATAATAAATGCCTTTATTCACTAGGAATTTTGAATTTATTAATCTTTTGAATCAGTACTGAATTTTTTGTTATATTTTTGAAAAGAGAATTTAATATGCTCTTTTTAGATTAAATTATGACGTTAAGTCAGATAACTCTACCTGACCCCCGTAACTTTTTATATTTTTTATAAAGAAACTTTTGAAATAAACCTTTTTCTGTATTTTTTACCTAAAAAAATATATGGTCATTCTGAAATTGAATTTTTGGTTTTCCCCCGTGCCAGTGCCAGTCTTTTATCTTAACGATAATTTACCTCTGGAAACAAATGTATTTATATTAGAAGTTACCTCCCAGATAAGTTTAACTGAAAGTTGACGATCAGTTTAAGTGAATTTGTTAAAATATAATAGCTACACCCCGAATGCGACACAGAGTCTCCATGTTATTGCTAAAATTATCAGTAAGGTCAAATGAGGATGAACACAATAAATAATGTTCTTTTTATATTTTCAGAGATTTAAATTTCAAACGAGGTGATATCATCATGTTGAGGAAGCGCATTGATAACAATTGGTATCATGGAGAATGTGGCGGAAATCAAGGCGTTTTTCCTCTCAGTTACGTACAAGTATGCTAAATAACGTCCACACTATCAATTTCTACTATGAATCATTTTTAGGTTATCACTCCGTTACCAAGCAATATACCCCAATGTAAAGCTTTGTACGAGTTTCGAATGACAAATGATGACGAAGAAGGCTGCTTAACTTTTAATAAGGGCGATATAATCACAGTCATTCGTCGTGTCGATGAAAATTGGGCCGAAGGAAAATTAGACGATCGAATTGGAATTTTTCCATTGGCGTTCGTCGAGCTTAACAGTCTAGCTCGGTCGCTAATGAAACTTTCTACTAAGTAAATTTCGAAATTTTGGCCGCGCAAATGTTTCAAATTTCTAATTACAGCACCCAGCCTGGTCCTTCACGGTTAGCACCTCCGACACCCACATCTGATGATAGCACACCACTGATACCCACCGATCACACACGTACAATTTCAAATGTTCACGTAGCTCAGCACGCACCTGCCGTACACCATCAAACTGCTCAATCGGTTCAACCCAGTTTACCTGCCTCAGATTCCAGTTCGACCGTTAGTTCTGGAAATTCGTCTAGCACCACGCCTAATACTTCCTCGGGAAGTGCTTCATCCAGTTCAAGTACAGCGCCATCGTCGCCCGCATCGCCACCTAATCGAAATCAGGCACCTCCAAGGTCGACAGTGTAAGTATTGAACTTTCTTTAACATTCTTTGTTTGTCATTTCTCAAAATCAACATGTATGGTACCTAAATATTTATTTACAGAAAACCTGATTTGCTCCCTACTCAAACAACAGTCCCTACACCATCTCGGGTTCTAAATTCGGCAACCACATCGTTTTCAACTGCACAACAGAGCGAAACTCATTCCTCTCATCACAATCGGGAAAAGCGCCACAGTTTTACTTCATTAACAATACCTCAGCATCAACCAAATAACCATAGACACTCTGCAGAAATACTCAGTTCAGAGGTGGAAGCACAACCGCAACCTGTTTCCACCCAGTCTGACCACCCAAGAAGATCGAGCGGAAACGAAGCGAATTTGAACACCTTACAACTTCCGGCCGCTTACGTCGCCCTATATCCGTACAAACCTCAAAAGGCCGACGAATTGGAATTGCGGAAGGGCGGCATTTACATCGTAACTGAAAGATGTCAGGATGGTTGGTTTAAAGGTACCTCGAATCGCACCCAAAAGTGCGGCGTTTTTCCCGGCAATTACGTGACGCTGGCGAGAGGCGCGCCCAGAAGTCCGCAGCCGTCGCCTAGGTCCGGCGAAAACACTTCCTCCTCGAAATCGGTAGTAAGTTACACGCGTAGCGGTAAGTCGCGACAGAGCGCAAACAGCTTACCTCCAGATCTTCCTCCGAGATCTTCGAGTCCCGCCATCGCCACCAACACTATCTCGTCTAGTTGGCATGGCCAGCAAGATAACGCCGCTATGCCTTTAGGACGCAGCAGCAGTGCGATTATGTCGAGCGTTGCTTTGCCTACTAACGGCCCGACAGTTGGTAAACCTTTAGATGAGGTTTGTGCTTTCTTGTCGCTTGGCGCGTGTGCGCATTGTATAATTTGTATAACTTGTTTCACAGCTGAAGGAGCGCAAAGAAAAGGGCACAGTGAGTCTGATGAGGCGCCTAACTAGCATTAAAAGGTCCAAGTTAACTCCCGCAACATCATATATGGACAATCCTGTGTTTGAAGACAGTACTGTACCGACACCCCCTTCCCATCCGGTCCATGTCAGGTATTGTGATTCACAATTATTAATCAGTTATCGCATGATTTGGTCATTGATTAAATTTTCATTTTGTTATTGCGAGTGTCCAGAGTACAGGAGGTAATTTTTTCCAATAATTGCTTTGCTGCAACCTCATTTATTCGAGATAGGTAATAAAACAACTTTTGTCATGCACACATTTAAGCTTGGTTCACAGTCTGATAACTAAAAATCAAATTTGCATATATCAGGTGTTCTTCCGAACGATGCATGATAGTTACATCATCGAGACCGTGTTGATAATTGATTGTAACTATGTTCAAGTACATATGGCTCCCACGACGAGCGTTTTATGTCGAAAAACGGCTACAGATTATGGGAAGTTCTCTCGGAGTACTCCTTAACGCCTTCAAAGAAACCTACGTTCTGAATTTCAAGTCTCTTTTCTACTATAAATATAAAATTCTGTTCTTTTCTGTTTCCGTTCCCGTGGGAATTTCGGAAAGTGTTTTACTAACTTTTGCCTAATTTAAAGTCTCTTTTCTACTATAAATATAAAATTCTGTTCTTTTCTGTTTCCGTTCCCGTGGGAATTTCGGAAAGTGTTTTACTAACTTTTGCCTAATTTAGAATCTGCAGGAAGAACCAACTGGTGCAATGGCGCATTAATAGGAGGATCTAATAAATTATGCTCCTTTTTTTTCTTATTCAGATTGTGCTAGGTACCATAAATTTAAATCTGTGCGGATGCTCTTAGTTTAAATGTATTGAAATATTTGTCTCGTTTTATTACTTATCTGGAGATGTATAACAATGATTGCATGTATATAGCAGCTTGTGCACGTACGTGTGTGTCTTTAGGTCTGGATCATGTCCAAGTCAACTTCTACAAGTGCTACCGGCAGAACATCACAGAATGTTTGTCTCTACCTCTCAACGCCTTAAACATAAAGATCGTCCCAGTGTCTTTGCGCACAGCTCAAGGTGTGTTTCGCACTCTATTCACCACTTGGTTCCTTTTTGGGTTTCCTTCTTGCATTTCTTTTGTCTTAGTAGTGGGCATTCTTTTTCTTTAACACTGCACATTGGACAGTGCAAATTCTTTATAGGTTGCTCGTTCGACATGCTTCTTTGTTTGCATTTCATAAACAGGTAATTTATTATTTTTATTTACCTGGCACTTAAAATGAACATTTTCCATTTGAAGTTCGTGGTTAATTTGAATTTGGGAAATGTTCATTTTTCTTCAGGATACGAATTTTTGAGATATTTGTAGAAATATAGTATGTTCTTCCTGGTTTTTCCATTTTCACTTATTATTCTTGTGACTTGACCTCACAAAACATTGCTCATTTCTATAAAGTGTATATTTTCGATATCAAGTATGAGTAGTAATACAAGGCTTGTTCTAACTCACTTCAAGGCCACTTAGACTGGTGACAGTTTCTGAAACTAATTCATCGTTGACCTTATATTACTAAAAAAACTAACATTGTAGAATTAAATTTACTTTTAAAGTTATACCGCTTCATGTAGTTCGTAGTAATTTTATTAACAGGCCTTTATAGTAGCTACCCCAAAAATGACACTGTTTAATTCTATGTAGAACTGGAGAAAACATAGCGGGAAGTTCTGCTTCCAGCCCGGATGTCCATCTCCATCGCAAATCAAACTCGCTGGACGCCGGAAATCGTTCAAAAACCGGCACACAAACTGTGCGCGAACGATTTCGTTGCATAGCACCGTATCCCCCTAATAGCGAATACGAATTAGAATTGCAAGTGAACGATATTATCTACGTGCATAAGAAACGAGACGACGGTTGGTACAAAGGAACACAGCAAAGAACTGGCCGTACTGGTTTATTTCCCGCCAGTTTCGTTGAGAGTTTTTGACGTGGCGAATTTTGTTAGTCACTTAGTATATTATTCTCTAAAGTAACAAAATGGTATGTATGTAATTTTATAAAATGATGATACTAATGTGTTCAAGAAAAGAATGTGTAAATTTCAAATATCCCTGTAAATAATAATTTATCTAAATCGTATTATTTTTGTTAGGTAATCTGCATTAGGTGATTACGTTTAGGTTTACTCAAAATACGCTTTTCTTATGCCTAGGTTATGTATTTATTATTGGTGGTGGGTTTTACTTACACATTGCTGTTTAATTTTACCATGGCAAAATTATAGTTTTCTAATTCAAATCGGGTTGCGTCAAATGACTGAAAATTATCGTAACTTTGTGCTCATATAAAATGAATTAGTTTTGTAAGGTGTGTCACTAGATGTGTTAAGAATAAAATCTCTCGTTGTCTGTAATATTTGTGTTCGTTCATGTGTCGTCATGGTGATTGCCTAACCCGTGTTTCCTTTGTATTTTTACAGGAAGAATTACACACTACAAATGGTTCTATAATGTAGCAGACAATTTGACATGTTCCAACACATTCAATTTTTTAATACATTTTGCTCCAAATGTTTTTTTTAGTTTGCTGCTGGTATTCTACTGGTATAAAATTTTACTGCGCTTTCTTCCGTAACAGAACCTTCCACGGTAGATAAGAAAAGAATGGGGATTTATCATATTATCTGAAAAGCAGCAATTTTCATTGGCTGGTGACCTTCGCAAATGTGCTTACCCTTAAAGAGAATGTAGTGCAACCGAATTAACAATTTTTTAGGCAAGAAAAAAGAAATTTATTAATGGAGTTTTGCCAAGTGGATATGTTAGAATGGTCTATACTGAATGCAAAAAAAATAAATACATGAGCAAGGGAGTGGGACTAAGCTGTTGGGGAGGGTGAAAAGGTAAAAAACTTTGTTATCTCGGAAATCCGTCAATTTTTATATTGAAAAAATTTTTGCTTGAAACAAAAAAATATATTTTCACCCAATCTTGTTAAAAGAAAATTATTTTTGTGATAATGAAAAATAAAAAACAAAAAAGGTTTTCCGCAATTTTCTCTGTCATTTCGAGATTATGTGAGAATATTTTTAAATTGTTTCATGATCTATAACTTTTACATTGAAGAATTTTATCTATGACCAGAAATAATATAATACGATACCCTCGCCAAAAACTTAGTCTCACTCCTTTGCTCACGTTTTTATTTTTTTTGTAGCGGGCAATCAAAAAACGATTGACGTCAAGTTGCCATTGGAAGTTCAATAATAATAATAATAATAATAATCTTTATTTCCTGTAGACATGTATAGGACACGTCAGTAACAATAACAAACAACATAAATAGCAATAACATGTGAGTTGGATATTATCACAGTCTACATAGGTACGTGAAGTATGTTTGATATTATATTGTCAAATAATGGCTAGCTAGAAGATCAAGGTAAGTTCTTGTGAATGAATTCCGTAATCGAATAGTATGAGTTGTGATGTAAAATATCTTTAATTATTTTTTTGAATGGTTTTATTTCATATCTACATATATCTTTGGGAAGCAAGTTATATAACTGGTGTTATATCTGTGCAAGTCGCCACATTTTGTCAGATTATTTTTATTTTGGTGGACAAAACATAAAACCTTGTAAATGTATACACATGGAAGCGGCATTATTTTATTTTTTATAAATGTCTCTTTACAAGAGTTTGTCGACTTAATACTAAATATCAGTCTAATTACACGTTTTTGATAAACAAACAATCGATGTGCTTTCGAGCTTGCACCCCAGCAGATAATATTGTAGTTTAAATGGGTAAATACCAGAGCATAGTAAATAGATATTAATTGCGGAACTTGAAGACGATCTTTTAATTGTGCTATTAAATAGTATGTCTTATTTAGTTTTGAACAGGTATGATCTATATGTTCATTCCAATTTAAGTTTTCATCTACCTTCAGTCCCAAGTAAGTAGCCAATGTAGAACATACTATTACGTTATTTTCGATGCTTAAAGTGAAGTGATTGGACTTTAATGCCGAAATTTTCATATTCATAATTACCGTTTTATCAGAATTAATGCGTAATTGATTATTTTGGCACCATTGTACAAATTCTCTTACCACGCAATTTAACTTTTGCAGTGCAGCCTCATACTCATGAGCACTAACAACAACCGCCGTGTCATCGGCATACATAAATGTGCTGCCGCTGGTGATGTACTTAGGTAGGTCATTTATAAATAAAAGGAAAATTATTGGGCCCAAATTGCTACCTTGGGGAGTTCCAATATTTACCATGTATTTGTTTGAGTATGTGTTGTTAAATTTAACGATAAATTTGCGGGCAGACAAGAATGAAAGTAAAAAATCATCTACAGGGTATCTAAAACCCAGATACTTTAATTTATTAGATAACAATCCCAGATTTATACTGTCAAATGCTTTCCTTATATCAAAGTATATGACAAAACATTCTTTGTTGAGATCTAATTCATTGTGTATATGTTGCATTAGTTGTGCGCTTGCCATTTCCGTGGATTTTCCGGAGCGAAAACCAAATTGTCTGTTGGATAAAATGTTGTGTTTCTCGAGAAAGGATGATATCCTTGAGCAGAGACATTTTTCAAAAACTTTTGAGAACGCACTCAGCAGAGAAATTGCCCTGTAGTTTGAGGCATCTTGTATTGAACCCTTTTTATGAATAGGTATAACACAAGATGTTTTTAACTTGTCGGGAAAACAACCCTGGGTTACGCAATGGTTAATTATTCCAGATAATACGGGAGAAATGACATTTGAACAAGCCTTCAACAACTCATTTGGGATTTCATCAATACCCGTAGATTTCTTATTCTTTAATGAGTGTATGATATTGTAAACTTCGCTGGAGGTGCTGGGATAGAAGAAAAACGTATTATTATAATGAGAACCCCTAGGTTTCTTACTTGTTGTTGCCGAACATTGCTTGGGGGTGATTGAGTGCTCAAAGTATTGGGCCAAGTCGTTGGCAGTTAGGGATATATTAGGGATATGCTTGCTCGACGATGGCGGTTTAATCAAATTCCACAAGGCTTTGGATTTATTTTCTGATTTATTAATAAGGTTTGCAACGTAGTTGCCCTTTTCCAGATTTATTTCCTTAAGCAATGACTTACGTTCCATTTTTAACTGTTTTTTGAGTCTGTCATCGTTAATACAATCGTTAATTGCCATAAGATTTTTATATTTATTGTACTTTTGTTGTAGTTCTAAGGAAAATTTTATTTTATTTTTGGGAGGCACTCTGTTTTTAGTTGTACATTTTTTAGGAAATGCAATATCAAAGCACCATGTAAAATGGTCGTAAAAGGTATTAAATCGCTTGTTCGCATCGATAATTGTTTCGTAATAATTTATGTTGTAAATGCCAAGTAGGTATAAAAATTCATTAATATTTGCATTGGAGAACTCACGTCTTATAATTCTATCACTACTACTAGCTTTATTTTGAAGACCATGCGTTGTAAGATTTATTGTGATGCATTGTGCAAAATGTTCAAGTCAAATAACGATTTCCCATGTAAACAAAAAATGCAAAGGTGACTTGACAGCAACTCTTTTGGTCGCATAGTATTAATTTGTTATAGTAGGTATAGACATATCCACTTGGCAAAGCTCCATTAACAATTTTCTTTTGTAAAAAATACAATTTGCCTGGACTAATAGGTAAATAAACTGGAATGTAGTGTGTTGTTCTCTGTCCCTGAAGATTTGTTTCCATGAAGTTTGCCCTAGCGCCTAGCCACACACAAGCTCACAGGTAAGTAATTCAATTATGTGGACTTCAGTGTAGCTTATTATATAAAGCCTCTTCCCTCCTTACACCGCTCCATGAATTCCCCATTGTTGGAAGCACTACTACAGATCCAATGAGTTTAACAGCCTCCGGAGTTTTAAATTTTTGATACATTCAGCACCAATTTAATTTTTGGTAGGAAAAGTCATACGGGGCAGAACTGGTAGAGTGGGAAGATGTTGCAGCACAGGAGCTTTGTTTTTGTCCATGTACATTGCTTTGCAGATAGCGCAGCGTGACAAGGTGCGTTATGGTGCATAAAACAACTCAAAAAAAAGACTGAGGAAGACTGAATTTCTCGCAAAACAAAGGAAACAAAAAATCTCAAGTTTAAATTTAGAGGGTGCTCATCGAGCATCTCTGGAATTCAAGAGCTTTTACAAGACACGAACGTTCGGTCTTTTCCAGAGCGCTCTGCCGCCTTCCCAGTCGCGGTCATCTTTAGGAGTTTCAAAACATCCAAAATTCCTCTATAAAAATTTTTATATTACCAGAGCTTTGTCGAAGCTGTTTGTTCATTTTACGTGGTTTCTACCGCCGTTGAGGAGGAACTAGCTAGTTCTGTAAATAAGGCAACTATAGATGGTGATAGGTGATTTCAAAAGCAAGCAGGTGAAGACATGTGTTGCCTTGCAAAGTGCAAATGATTCAATTACATCTGAAAAGAATGCAGTATGGGAAAACCATTGAACTATATACTCTGTATATACAGTATATTGTATATACTTCAATGGGGGAAACTTACGAAATACTCTGTATATACAGCAAACGTTCTGCGTAGCTGCCGGGAACAGTTCCAGTTTTAGTCCCGATTGTGTCTCACGTACAACACATAAAAAGAACCGCCAGTGCGAAGAAAATAATATCGTCTGTTAATCCTTCTCCAATAACTGTCAAGCGAGTGCTGAAGCCAATACGGTTTGTGAAAGAAGGTGTTAGGGGGGCTATAAGGGTACGTACGGAGGTTTATAGGAGAAAGGTTATCAAGTCATTCTGTGCTAGGTGGTTTTGAACTCCCGCGGATTTTAAAACATAATTTTCTGGGGAGTCTGGAATATCTCCCCCTCGTATTCGTATATGAAAGCTCTTGAAAACGACTCTTGCAGCTCCTTATACAACATTTGGAAAGTGTCTGTCTACATTAGAAGGTTGCTGTGGAGTCACCTTTGGAATTTTTGCTTACATGGGAAATCGCACTTGAACCATTTGAATGCTTGAACTTCCAAAGGCGACTTTGGCAGCAACTCATTTTTGATTGCTCGTTACAAATGATTAGAATTGCATTCCACAAATGTATGTAATTGCATCGGAGATGATTTTAAAATGTAGATATAATTACAACCTATAATCATTATTCTTAATTATCAAATTGAATAATAAGTAGTATCAGGAATTTATTAATAAACCGAAACCCCAAAGTATGTTACTGGAATAGAGCAGCAGGCCTTGTCTAAAACGTGAAAAATTTCCGAGAGTCTCTTCAGATTTGAATGTTCCATCGTCGTATTGCATATTCCTATGAGTTGAGTCAGACATGATCCAGATTTGAGGTCGCCCCGTTTTGTTTAATTAGTAATTTTCCCCGCTAATAACAAATTCCTTTGCTTCTTCACACCTGACACCATGGTCCGAATGTCTCCACTGCAAATGACCAGCAATCGCGCCTTCATATTTTTATTCGTGTCAAGGAAGCGGCATTCTGTGCAACGGGACCAGATTATCCTTGTTGATAATTTGCGGAAAGATTTGGCCAATGTATCTGAGCATGTCACATCCCAGAGGAGGCATCTTGTGTCCGCATGGTTCTAATTGAGCAGGAATTTTGATTGGAGTTAATGTTTTTGAAATTATATTGGTTATCGTCCATATACCTATTAGCTTTTAACACAACTTAGGCCATTTGGTCATAGTCATGTCTACCGTATCCATGACCAACCAGTCTCCATAGCGGCAGTTGTATGGAGGTTTTTTCATCATTCTCAAGAAGTATGTAAATGCTTCAATTACACTGATGGCAATTTTGTCCCATTGTTTTTGATAAGGTGGAGCGTGGATGTGGATCCATCCATGGATCAGGAATCTAAATCATAGTGGTGATTTTTCCATTGTAAACGTTGGCCAAATCTTCCCTTAAGATTCAAAGCTTAAAATATGCAAGTGCAATATACGGAAAAAGGGTATTTGAACGTGAATTGGTACATGGCTACATTCCGTCTCAAATCAAATTTGTGTAAAAGTTGGTTTCAATTTTTAAATTTAAATGAACCGCCATTTTCATGTTACGCCCCCACGTAATGGGTTGGATAAACTAAATTCCCTTCTTCGACGAAACGGAAGTCAAGGTAATATGTTTATTGTATCCTAATCACATCATTGATACAGGTGAGGGCGCCTTTAATTAGTAATCAAAAGCTGTAAAAACCGGGACTTCTATTTAGGATAAACAGTAAAATCTCCAGAGTCCCGAGATGCGCGGCGCATATCCCCACCTTTAGCAAATGTAAGCGCGGCACAACAAACTTTTGGACAGTCTGAGAGTGTACACTGAGGTGAACTGTTGTTGCTATGTCGGAGAAATTACAAATTGGTTCCCTGGTCTGGTACGTATAATATTATTTCAATTAATTCCACATATAATTTGAAATTAAAGTAATGCGTTCCACGTGTAATCTTAACTTCTTTCAGGGCAAAAATGAAGGGATTTTCTCCTTGGCCAGGCTTGGTAAGTATATCGCGCCGCGACATTCAACCAAACCGTTACTACGTGCGCTTGCGTAAATTGCCGATTTTAAACATAACCTTTCTCTTTAACTTTACGTCAGTCTTTTTCGAATTTATTTTGTAAATAATGCCTTCTTCCAGATCTCGAAACCGAAACACTGGGTCAAAAAACCCGCGAAGAAGACGGATTTCCAATGTATCTACTTCTTCGGAACAAAGAATTAGTAAGTACCTGTCACTCCGCTGTTTAGTATCTAGCTTAATCGGTCTTGAAAAGCGCTAAGTGTCTCGAATTGTAGTGCCTGGATAGAGGAATCGAACATTATGCCCTACTTGGAGTTTAAAGAGAAATTAGTCAATTCGTGCAAATCTGCAAGTTTCAAAGAGGCCGTTGCCGAAATTGAGGAATTTCTGGAACGCATCGAGGTATGATGTCAACGACTTAATTGTAGTTGGCTGACGGTTTTGTTTATAGGCGGATCCTACTTTCACTCCTGAGCAGTTTGATAACGAAAGGGAACAGGATACCACCTTTGACCGTATTAAAGAAGACAGTAAGAGTGCGCCAAAGAAAAAGAAGGTTAGTTGTTAGTCATTAAAAAATGCACCAATCGCCTGTGTGGATTGGATTAATTACATTCAGAAACAAAAAGCCATCGGTTCATTTTTATCTGATCGTACAATTACCAAATGAATGGTTACAGTACTGGCAGTATCATTGTAAATTGGATGCTAAAATTATGTGAATATGTTCGTCATTTTTAATAGCATCTATACTCAATTGGGATGTGGTTCTACAGGGTGTTTTTAATTATTCGGTCTCCAAATCATTTTATTGTATGTTTGTTATGTCTTCATTTAAGTTTTTATACCTACACCGTAATTAAATCCAGCACTTTTGAAGTGTTAGTGATTTTACTAGGTGCTCAACAAATACGGCTGGCCGACTGCTGTGCCCTGAAAAGTTCGAACTCTCTCAAGAAATGTTGCAATGAAGATAGAGTGCACTCCAAAACAAAGAAATATATTTTCTGTAAATTTTTAAACGGTATCACAACAAAATGGTAATAGTGACTCAATCTTCGGTGGGCGACCGATAGCGCCCAAATGGTGAGGTTAGAGAAAAATTTATTAAATAAAACTTTTGTGGTATAAGAAGCGAATATTTTAGGCGTAAAGTGTTTTTAATGAAATGTATGTATTTCTCCATTTCAGCCTTTGGAGGGAGATGTAATTACATTAATTTCTTCCTTAATGAATTTTTAAATGGAACATCGTGGATATTTTTGTATTTTTTTGCACCTCTTGACAGCATTACTTTTTATGTGTTAGCACTTTTTCGTAATGGTAACCTTTTTACCGAATCTGACCAACTTCATGTACGGTACCTACACTATATCAAAGGTGTTTTCCAATTTGTACAGGATGAGTCAACAATTATGCTGACTGCCATTATGATCCTAACAAAGGCTTTCTAGAGATTGTGCTTTTGTATGAAAATATTGAAGAATATTCTATATATTTTAAAAATATTTTAAGTTTCAGTTGTTAGATAACATCAACTTTATTTTTTTTAATCCGGACCGGGAAACACGTTATATATTTTTGTTGTATCACTTAACATATTCAATAATCTTTAACATTAATAAATTATGTCCTATGTGCATCTCCAATGGTTTTCGATATATCTTAGTATTCATGCTTAATTATTAATAATGAAATATAAAATGAAGTAATTATTTATGATTATTTTTTAACATAGATATGTTTTTTTGTTGCATTTGACTTCATAAATAATAATTTAATTTTATATTGTTATTATTTATAATTTATTATTTATAAATTATTTTTTAATAGCAACCATTATTTTTAATCAGGTTCTTAAAGTGCAGACTTTTTGCTGCTGTATCCAAAAAAAGTGTACATTATATGCCTCCCTTGACTATGCAGAAATAGCCACTGACCACAAATTTAAAGTACATAGAGTGGCAGCTAACTTTTTATAATTTTGAATACCATCAAAAGCTTCTTTAAATAAGTGTCGTTTTGAAGATACATTCAGTGTTCCACCTTGTATAAAAGACTTAAATTTATCTTTTGAACTTTATGATCGCATCCTGTATATTTAAAATATTTTGTAAATGTGCAGAATATTCATATTATACAAATCTTGCCAAATCCTTCCTTCGGACCATAATAGCTCTCCACGCAACCGTTAACGTAGTTGTTAAAAAGCAAACATTTTTCCACCTCCACCCAAATGGATTTTTTGGAAGCTACGCCCTCCAAAGTCCCAAAAATTGTGTTTCTTATTTAACTGTTTTCTCAGAAATCAAAACATGTAGAAAAATGGAACACGGAGGACGAAGGTGCAAAATAATTCAGACCTCGACGTAATTTAGTGCTTGTGGGTTTTTCATCTTGGAGATATGGAATAAATTTTTAAAAATTGGAACAGTTTTTTATGTAATTTTTCAAAAATAAATAACCTAAGCAAATCCGTTAATTCCATCTTCCTAGCTGCTATGGTCGCTGAGAAAAAATTAAAGATGTTTACACGATAAGTTTTTATTTTATTTATTTATGAACATATCAGGGTACGCTTAAAAAAATGCAAAAATTCACTTCAAGGTATACAGTCTGTTACGTACATTTTTTGCATTTTTTTTGCGTCAGCCATTTTTATTAATTGGTATCCCATGTTAGTTACCATGGGCACAATAATCAAAACAAAATCTCATTGAATCCATGGCTTACTACTTATAAACCATAAAAAATAAGGTTTTGGTTCATGACTAAGCTTTTGGTTGAATTGAATTAACCTGAAACTGATTTTTTAATTCAATTTTCGTCAAACGGTAGGTTAGCTCTGTTTCACTGCTTTATTATTGCATAAAAGTTAGTACATTTATATAAGCAAGTATAAATTGTATACAATTCTTAAACCAAAATAGCTTATTATAGTAAATAATTGGGTTATAAGGTAGTAGCATGCTATACTTATCGATGTTTAGTCTCTTGGCATAGCTTCTCGGAAGGGGGTTCTTTACTCCGCTCTTTAGTTAACAGGAATTATAACCGATCACGATGAGAGGTTGAAAAGGAGGCTGTGGTTGGTATATATTTCGTTGAGACCTGTCATTAGAGTACCACAAAGGATAAAACCAGCTACCCCCCCCCCCCTTTTGATAAGTGAGAAGGGCCGTAGTTGGTAGAAAACAGTTCTTTTTGTTGAGACTTTTAATTTGAAATGAAAGATAAAACCAATTGCGCTAACCCTGTCCTAACTGCAACATGAGTCACGGAGGACAGGTATAATTTATAGAAACCATTTAAAATGCCTTTTTATTTGAGGCCAAGCATATCAATTAGAAACTTCAGATCCCAGATCAGCAATGCATCAACTGTTTGGGTAAAAAAATGAATGAAAATGGCATATCCATGACCCCCTCTCCATTTCCCTTGTATATCTGTATTTTTTGTTTAAATGTATAATTCTTTTTTTTTTCCAAGTTTTGTTAGTATAACGGAAAATAGATAAAAATCCCTGTCGATGAAACATCTGATGGGTAGAACGTGTGTCCCCCCCCCCCCCCCCCCCTTAGAGGTTATACTTGGCGTATTGACATGACATGCGTATGCAAAACTAATTGTTCGTCGCACGTTTTATTTTCAGAAACTGCATCTCTGGAAATAATTCTTGCGGATGGGTGGGAGGTGGGGTAGCAAAATTTGGAGGCTATCTGGTACATCTTTAACGTGTAGGCTACCTATTTCAAAATCTAGGTCAATTCCCCTAAAAGCAGTTTTTTTTTCAATTTTATAAAATTGCCCTAAGAAAATAGGTGAACCGTTCAAACATTTTTTCCAATTATTATGAGTCAGTGACCTGACAGCATTCATTTCTTCATAATGTGAATATTAAATTAAAAAATATTTAAAGAAAAATAAACAGGGTGTAACACGTAAGTGTGTCAAAAATTAGATGGACGACTGGCAGTATTTGCAACAAAAAAGAACATTTTTACGAATAAAATAATAATACATTTTTTTCTCAGCAGCTGTTACAAAAAAGGGTGAGATTTGGTACACTCTTTTCGATTTTCTTCGCCAATTCCCAAACTCAGAAAAAAATGATTTTGACAAAATTGGATTCCTGCAGATCAGTGAACATGAAACCCCGTTTTTGAATATTTTTAAAAAAGGTTTGTCATAAAAAAAGTTCCAAGATTTGAAAATGTTCTGAATTATTCCTAGATAACAAATGATTGTTTTAATTCCTTTAGATTTAAACACCCTGTAGTTGGTAGGTCTTAATTGTTAAGCAACTTAGTAGGAATATCAGTCTCATGATACACTGATCCATTCAGCAATTTAAGAAACTGGATAACTAAAAGCGAAGGGTGTATTTATTTGAATATCTGCCTCCGTCCACCTCACTGTGCATTACTTATGGCATCTTGCACGTGCAAATTAAAGCAATTAGGAAAAATGTGCCTTGTCAATTTTTAACATTACGGATGCAGCTGCTTGTGTTACTCAAGCGTGTTCAAAGTTTCTTTTATTACTCCGATTTTGTTATGGTATTTTAGAAATGTAAAATGACCGCTGGGCAACTTGGTAGACGCTTCCTGTGACCAAGTGAATCCCAGGTTTGAGAATGGAAGCCTTCATAATCACCAATGTTATTGAATTCATATTTTTGTTTTAGGAATCCACCGGAGGCACCAAGCGGCTGTCCACTGCAATTACACCTAAGGCATCTAAAAAACGCAAATCCTCACAAAGCGAAGAGAACGGAGCAATTTCACCTGTTTTATCGAATCATGTACCTAAAAATTACGAAGAACTCCTTAATCGCCCTTTGGTGGAGAAACCCGTATGTACATTTTTTTTCTTAGAGTACCGAAAAATTGTTTTGTTCTTGTATGTCGGCGTAAACTAAACTTTTGTTTATAGATGAATCTTTGACTTACGAAGACCTCTCTAAGAACCAAGCAGTTTTTCAATGAATATTTATCTTATCTTTTGCATTGATTGCCTTTGTTTATACATGACTGGTAATACAGAAATTATTGTCGTTAATTAATTAAGAAGAACTATGGTTCGTCTACTATAGGCTACTACAATCGGATCCTTAATCTTATGCCGGGTGATTTTAAAAGACTAAATTATTCTAATATATCATCCCTCTAGGTAATATACAGCGTGGGGTTTACTTTTTGACTCGCCCTGTATAATGTTGTATGTATATGTGTAAAGGCAATTATACACACTGAATGCACGAGTGTACACATTCGATACCGTTTAGAATTTTTTTTCTTAACGTTCAAATGTGTGTGCTCTGTAAATTTGTACAATTTTTTTTGTCATATAACAGATTGGTAACTTGTGGTTTTCATTTTTCTCTTGGACACCCTTTATATTCAAAGAAGTGGCGTTTGAGTTCCGCTGTGAACATCCACATAGTACAGTTTGATACATGTTCCTAAAGAATACACTATTTTGGATATAGCAGGATAATTGGTGTGAACTGCAAGAATATGTAATAAAAAGGTGTGGTTGCTATTAAAGAAATTGCTCCCTTTGACCCCACTGACCACAAATTTGAAGTGCAAACTTTTTATAATTTTGAATATCAAAAAGCTACTTCAAGAAATATGTTGTTTTGAATTCATTGTTCCAGGAAAAATTTCCACCCTCACAGGGTTGCTTACTTGCTGTGCACATATTATTATTCATCAGTTAGAATGTGGCTATTCTGTGGCCGAATTGATTCGTATTTTGTTTTATTAGAATTTCTATTTCAACAAAAAACCGAAATGGAACTTCACTTCAATAGAAATTTGATGACTCCACATTTGAGGTAACCCATTTATTTATGGTTTTGAATTATTTATCTTTAATTCATATTCTCACACTCAACTGTCTCAATCGCATAGGTGTTTGTCTCACCAATTCTGACTAGGTAGTTCTAATAATGGCAAACTCATCGCCCATGTCAAAAGTAAAGTGGCCGCCGTATTGCCATTTCAGCAAGTGCCTTTCACGACGAGCGTCAGTTAGGCGTTTTTCGGAAACTGTAAAAAATAATTTTATTAAACTTTACACATAAAAATAAGGAAGTCGACACTAAATTTTGTTATTTGAAATGGCATGACTCTTTGGCGCATTTTTGCAAATTTATTTGTAAAAAAGGTAGCTTTTATTCTCACTTTGGCTGGCTGACTGGCTGGCAGCAAATGTGGGCCCGTAGAAGAACGCTTGTAAAAAGACAAGGAGTGTACATGTACCTACCCGGCCGTGTAATTAACAACTTTAAGAACGGAGCTACACTATGTGGGGTCGGCGACATCTTGGCGCCATCCCCGAGCCGTGGTGATTTTTCAGTTTTTTCCTCTCTTTCAGTTTTAGTCCGATTGTATTCAAATTAGTATCGTCGGAAGTGGGTACCGACAAAGGGAATGTGGTAGCCTTAAACAAGATCTTAGTGTTGGTGGAGTCAAAACTGGCAAATAGAATACTGATGTGCCACACTAAATTGCGCTGAAGTTCCTTCAATCTCACACGAGAACTTTGATAGTTCTAGCTTAAGTACAGCATCCCAGTGCCGTGTAATTGGAATGCTTTGCATTCTGTATGGTGTCTGCCAAACAAATAAATAAATAAATAATTTTTTTATTCACGTT